ATCCTTATGCTGAGTACCTGAGTCTACACACTGGGAGCATGCAGTGAGCGTGCACAGAAATATCAGCAGCCCAGTGACACATACGTGTTACATGGGTGACAACAGGTTAAGAACTATCTTGGTCTCCTTTGTGGATTTATTTCAGATGTGTGCAGTAAGTCATAATGAAACAGCTCTTAGGCTCCATTCACTCTTGTGTGGCTCCATAGTCATGAGATTTCCATTGTGACTTTCCATTGAGACTTTGATGCCACTTTAGATGAATACGACTTGGATGCAACATTGATTGTTGACTTTGACTGTTGCACAACTGTCACATTGAAAACATTAAAATGCGACCATCATGCGACATTTGAGAGTTTACATTGCAGTCTATGGAACCCATGGCGCATGAAAGTCGCATCAAACTAGTGCAGGAACCTTTTTAAAGTCACTGCGACCTTAAGCCGCATATATTTGAATGACTTCCGTTGAAAAACATGGGCTGCGGCTTGCCAAGCGACTTTATGTGTCTAGAGTTGCATGACAAGTTGCACAAGTGTGAATGGAGCCTTACACTTTGTGCTGGAGATTCCTGTAATAAAGACTGGCCACTGCTGCTCTGTCTCCTTGTGCAGGGTGACTGGCCTGCTCTCCTCCCCCTCCTGTAGTTTTCTGCAGGCAACCTGTAGTGGGTGGAGCCTGCTGAGCCCCTCCCACAGCTCTGCTCCCTGCACAGGCTATCAACAGCACATCGATGATATCGGGGCTGCTTTTCATTTCCATTAATATTTGGGTTTGCAAAGAAGTCTGCACACAGAAAGGCTTTATGACCTTTGAGGAATATATTTAAATGAAAAAAAATGTTTGTTTACCTTTAACCTCTTGCTTTGCTGTCATCCTGCAGCGGGACACACTAAAAAATCTTTCTCCCGGTACTGTGCAAGGAGAAGTAACTGTGGAGCTTCCGGGAGCATTGTTTTCCAGGGAGGATTTTTTAAAAAACATCCACCTCCTGTTGTAGCTCGGACTACTGCTCCCCCACCACTCCTGTATGTAAGTTGACACTAAGATAACATTAGCTGCCATGAAATGCATGGGGGGTCCTATTGGCCCTGGAAAACTTTGGCTTAGTAGACCATGGCTTAGTAGACAATTGGCTTAGTAGACCATGGCTTAGTAGACCTTGGCTTAGTAGACCATGGCTTAGTAGACCATGGCTTAGTAGACCATTAGACCATGGCTTAGTAGACCTTGGCTTAGTAGACCATGGCTTAGTAGACCACGGCTTAGTAGACCTTGGCTTAGTAGACCATGGCTTAGTAGACCATAGCTTAGTAGACCATGGATTAGTAGACCAGTCAACCTACCCATTGCCTCTTATCCATAGCTACTGTACTCAGTCTCAGCTCTCTTAGGTCCTCTTCCACATCATTAATCAGTCAAGTTCGCCTTCAATACCACCACTCCTATATGTAAGTTGACACTAAGATAACATTAACTGCCATGAAATGCATGGGGGGTCCTATTGGCCCTGGACAACCTTGGCTTAGTAGACCATGGCTTAGTAGACCATGGCTTAGTAGACCATGACTTAGTAGACCTTGGCTTAGTAGACCATGCCTTAGTAGACCATGCCTTAGTACACCAGTCAACCTACCCATTGCCTCTTATCCATAGCTACTGTACTCAGTCTCAGCTCTCTTAGGTCCTCTTCCACATCATCAATCAGTCAAGCTCTCCTTCAATATTTTTTTCATCTTCTGTTGCCCTCAGAAAACTTCTATGTGATTAGTTTCTCTTTCTTACCGCTAAGTTAAGCCATCTAACTGGCTTTTTACAACCTATTGGATGTTCATAGCTGTTTAATTTTTTATTTGTCATCACATATACTCTCTGGCCGAAATGTTGTGGCCACCTGACAACCACACATCAATGAGTTTGTTGGACATCCCATTCCAAAACCAGGGACATTGAAATGTACCTGTGGCTATACAGCTTCATAGGAAGGCTTTCTACAAGATTTTGGTGTGTTCCTGGGGGGGATTTGTGGCCATACAGCCAAAAGAGCATTTCTGAGGTGAGATACTGGTGTTGGAGAAGACCTCATTCACCCAATTCATCCCAAAGGTGTTCAGTAGGGTTAAGGTTGGGGCTTTGTGCAGAACACTCAAGTTCCTCCACACCAAACTGGTCAAATTAAGTCTTTATGGACATGTTGGATAAGAAGACCTGACTTGTTCCAGTTATCCCAAACGTGTTCAGTAGGGTTGAGGTCAGGGCTGTGTCCAAAACACTCAAGTTCTTCCACACCAAACTGGTCAAATTATGTTTTTCTGGACATGTTGGATAAGAAGACCTGACTTGTTCCAATTATCTCAGAGTTGTGCAGTAGAGTTGAGGTTTGGGCTTTGTGCAGAACACTTAAAGGGTTACCACAATAGTAAAATCAGTATTATATGCAGTAAAGCATGCTTGTTATACTCACAGTGGAACCTAAGGAGTTAATCCTCTGCATTGTGTAAAAAGGCTATTTGATCCTGACTTCTCTGCTCCTACTCTTGTTCAAATGTCCACGTCTTATCTCCTGATGAGACAGACTGAACAGTAGTCATTCTGTACATGCACAGTTTAGTGTGTATTGCTTTTTTTCCTTGGGAGAGAAATGTGATCAACACAGGGCCAAACAGCACTATCCTCCTAGAACAGAATGAAAACTCCTCCTACAAGCTTTAACATGTGCCCTGCTGGACACTAATAGAAGTCACAAGACTGCTCTAACTGCTGATGAGAAAAGGTATTTAGCAGTTTGTATTTACTAAAATAATTGCATTTTCATGTTGTGTGTACTGAGGGAGACCAGATATAGTGAATATAGGGTCCGGGGTTTAGTAACACTTTAAGTTCCTCAACACCAAACAGGTCAAATTATGTCTTTATGGACATGTTGGATAAGAAGACCTGACTTGTTCCAGTTGTCCAAAATGTGTTTAGTAGGGTTGAGGTCAGGGCTTTGTACAGAACTCTCAAGGTACTCCACACCAAACTGGTAAAACCATGTCTCTATGGAGATGTTGGATGAGAAGACCAGGCTTGTTCCAATTATCCCAAAGGTGTTCAGTAGGGTCAAGGTCAGGGCTTTGTGCAGAACACTCAAATTCCTCCACACCAAACTGGTCAAACCATGGCCAGTCATGCTGGAACTGGTCAAACCATGACACAGTCCTGCTGGAAAAGAAAAGGACCTTACCCAAGCTGTCAGAAGACCTGGTTTGTTCTAATTATCCCAAAGGTGTTCAGTAGGGTCAAGGTCAGGGCTTTGTGCAGAACACTCAAATTCCTCCACACCAAACTGGTCAAACCATGGCCAGTCATGCTGGAACTGGTCAAACCATGACACAGTCCTGCTGGAAAAGAAAAGGACCTTACCCAAGCTGTCAGAAGACCTGGCTTGTTCTAATTTTCCCAAAGGTGTTCAGTAGGGTCAAGGTCAGGGCTTTGTGCAGAATACTCACATTCCTTCACAGCAAACTGGTAAAACCATGGCCAGTCATGCTGGAACTGGTCAAACCATGACACAGTCATGCTGGAACAGAAAAGGACCTTCCCCAAGCTGTTACCAAAGGTTTGAAACAACACAATTGTCAACAATGTCTTTGTTTGATGTAGCATTAACAGTACTCTTCACCAGAAACACCTGAACGCCATAATTTTGAGGGGTGTCCATATACGTGGGGTATATAGTGGTAGGTGTGATGGTCAGGTATCCACAAACCATTGGCTATATAGTGCATGTGATAAAGCTGTTGAACCAACTAACATGTCTACAACCACTCCCATGATTCTGTGCTGTAAATAGTGACAGAATATTCTGCAACATCAACATTCAACTCTGGCTTCATATAGCCGTCCCTCCAGTATGCCCATTGTTTAGTGTTGAGTCAATGGGGTTGATTTACTAAAAGCATATTGGCTGTTCAATTCAAGGGAAGTTGCACATTACAAGGGGATACAGGGGCATATTCATGCTGAAGTTGCACAAAAAAAGGGAATTTTCACGAGAGTTTAGTGAATGTGATGACATTTCACTTTGAAAAGAATACCCAATCACATGCAAAGAAAATACAAAAAAAGTGTACTATTGCTTGCACGTGACTGGATGACGGAAGTCAGCAGACCCATATGGAAGAAAAATATATTTGAAATATATTTTAAAAACATTCTTCCCAAATATATTGACATATTTGAAATGCTACAATTTTGGCCATATTCAATATATTTCAAAATATATTTCAATAAATATATATATATATATATATATATATATATATATATATATATATTTATAGATATAGATATATAGATTCTGAATGTTGAAATGTGTTTTTATTACAAAATACCGTATATGAAAAATATTTTTAAAAATACATTTCAAATACACCGTGCATGTCATGTATATGCATTTACAAATATATGTAAACATATATGTTAAACTGACTTTTTTATATGTTAAAAAAAAATCTGAAGAATATATTTAAAAAAATATATATTTTTAAAAATATATTTTTTTAGATATATTCTTCATATTTTTTTTAACATATAAAAAAAATGTCATTTTAACATATATTTTTACATATATTTGTAGATGCATTCCAAAATGTAGATTAGTATTTTTAAAGACATACAGTATATTTGAAATGTATTTTTACAAATATTTGTCATATATTTTGTAATAAAAATGCATTTCAACATGCAGTATATATATATATTATATATATATATATATATATATATATATATATATATATATATATATTTGTTTTATTGAAATATATTGTGAAGTTTATTGAATATGGCCAAAATTGTAGCATTTCAAATATATCAATATATTTGGGAAGAATATTTTTAAAATATATTTCAAATATATGTTTCTTCCATGTGGGGAGCTTCACCTCATTCTCAAAGCTCTGGGGAAAATTCCCTTTCAATGCGCAACTTCCCTCACAAAGTGAACACACACATTGCATTTAGCAAATTAATCCCAAGAGACTGAATGCAATGGGGCTGATTCACAGGCAAATAGACTATTCACTCTGAACAAAATAAAGACTTGTACAACCACTATGAACATCCGATAGGAAGTAAAAAGCCAGCTAGATGGTTTTACCAACTGATATAAATGGGAAAAGATTCACAGAAAAGATTTCCGAGGTCAACCCAAGAGGCAGAAGGTAGAAGGAGAGCTTGACTGGTGATGTGGAAGAAGATATCAAAGAACTGGGATTGAGTGGATATGGATAGAATGCAATGGGTTTACTGAAATGGGGTAAAGCTTGGGCCAGTAGATCCACCAATAGAGATATCTTTTCATGCAAAATCAATCATCAATCTCCTGCAGGCTCTCGGCCCAGTAGCTGCTGAGACCCAGATTTCAATTTCTTGTCTCAGCAAAACTGCCTCCGGGGGCAGCAGCCCCAAGTGAACCGAAACCCTCCCTGGAGGAAAAAAAGAACCCTTTGGCATGACTTTCCAAACATTTATTACCTCCACAGCCACCTTCTGGATGCCTCCTTCTAGGGATTGGCTTCGGCATGATGATCATTTGAATCTTCTTGCTCTATGCTCAGGAAACGTATTTCATCCATCACTCCAATCATATGCAAGTAAAACAAATGTGATTGGGTAGCCTTTGCAAAGTGAATTGTCACCGTATCTACTATGCTCAAGGGAAAATAAACTTGCAAAGTGAAAATTCCCTTGAATAACTAACAAAGCCCTCATCCCTTGTTCACAGTGCCGCAAGATTCCATTCGCCGTAATGGATTGAGTTGTCGAAGCTGTACGGCCCTTGACACTGACTGGTGTCACACTAAGGAAGCAATAGATTGCACCGGAGAAGAAACTGCATGTATCCTGCAGAGAGATGTGTTCTCAGGTACTTGTATTATACAAATTACTGGTTTTTGGGTTTTGTTTTTTTTTTTTTTTTTTATTTGGTACAGTGATACATTCTTTAGCACATTGCAGTATGATCCGCTAAACATGCAGTCATTATTTTATCTGGGAGATTTAGAAGAGAAGGAGCACCACATATTATTAGATGGTTTCGACTATTTTTATGACGTTATAGTATATGTAAAAGAAGCATGCCGCCATGTTTTGTGAGGAAGTCAGCGCCATTCATCATCATCCAACTGCGTGAGCAGGCTACCGGGGCAGGACAGTGACCCTTTGCACTCAGAGAGAGTGGGTTGAATGATGCCCAACTGCATTGAACCGGGAGGACCGGTGACATCTAGTGGCTGGAAAAGAATATTACTGCAGGGGATAGCACTGGAGAGGAGGTAGGTGTTGCACCCCTAAGGAAAAAAAAAAAAAAAAAGAGTTTGGGTTTTAAGATAACAACAATTTTTTCCATTTTTATACCTATTATAAATAGTATTTTACTATGAATGTGATTAAAAGTTAAAAAAGGATAAATGGTGTAAGACATAGTGGTTAAGTGGTTGTAAAGGCTCAAGGTTTTTTACATTCTATGCATGAAGGTAAAAAACCTTCTCTGTGCAGCATCCCCCCCGACCCCCTAATACTTACTTGGGCCCTATCCAGGGGTGGACTGACCATTTGGGCGCTCGGGCACTGCCCGAGGGCCCAGGGTCAGTAGGGGGCCCCATGAGATGCTCCTGGTACCTTTCATAGGCTTTTTTGGGTGTGGTTTGAGTGTGGGCTAGTACACAGGGGCCCCATGATTCCCTATTGCCTGAGGGCCCCATGAGTTGTCAGTCTGCCCCTGGCCCTATCATGATCCAGCGGTGTGTATGAGAGCCTCAGCTTTCCAGGAATTCTCCCTCTTCATTGGCTGAGACAGAAATGGGAGCCATTGGGCTTATGAGGAGATGGGGCGGGACCAGGGGCAGACTGACCATTTGGAAACTCGGGCACTGCCCGAGGGCCCGGGGTCAGTAGGGGGCCCCATGAGATGCCCCTGGTACCTTTTTCATAGGTCTTTTTGAGTTAGGGCAAGGACACAGGGGCCCCATGATCCCCTATTGCCCGGGGGCCCCATGAGTTGTCAGTCCGCCCCTGGGTGGGACCGAGCTGCGGCTCTGTATGTGAATGGACACGCAGAGCAGCAGCTTAGGAGTGAGCATGCTGGGGCGCCCCCGGAGCAAGCTGCTTGGCAAGAGGGAGGGGCCAGGAGCGTCAGTGGGGGACCCAAGAAGAGCAGGATCAGGGTTGCTCTGTGCAAAACCACTGCACAGAGCAGAGCATTTTGAATATGAATATGCTAATATCAATATATTATTCCCAAAAAAAAATATCACACAAATAAGTTCCAATAAATAACAAACACAATATATGTAAATTATACGGTATCCACTAAATAACTAAATATAACAAGTCTATAAATAGCATAAAAAACACTTTCCCCAAAAAAGTGTAAAACTGTGAATATGAATATGCTAATATCAATATATTATTCCCAAAAAGTATATATCACACAAATAAGTTCCAAAAAAAAAAAAAAAGTCCAAAATAGATAAAATAAAAAAAGTCACTCTATATCAACTTCAATCCTCAATCTTCATATTCTGCCTTTCACTTATATACAGATATACACTTAAATAGAGATTGAGGATTGAAGTTGATATAGAGTGACTTTTATATTTGATATTTTATCTATTTTGGACTTTTTTTTTTTTTTTTTTGAACTTATTTGTGTGATATATACTTTTGGGAATAATATATTGATATTAGCATATTCATATTCACAGTTTTACACTTTTTTGGGGAAAGTGGTTTTTTATGCTATTTATAGACTTGTTATATTTAGTTATTTAGGGGATACCGTATAATTTACATATATTGTGTTTGTTATTTAAAAAAAAAAATTGCCTTAAGATCACTTTAAAATACACTGGATAAAAGAAGAACATAGCCTGTCTTATGCCAACTTCCCACCAGTATACATAACACAAAAACATTTTGTAGCAAAGGGTCCATAGGAGGGCATGCAGGTAGTGAGTGAATCCAGGAAAAGACAAAATATACCATAAAATGCCAAGTTCTGAAAAAATTACCTAGTGGCGTCCCGAGGCAGGTGCGCGCCGCTTCGGGGGTGACACCGTCCGCACAGGGTGGTGACACCAGACCCGCTCCACGGAAAGGTAAGTTGTAAAGCAAGCCGACGATCCCCGAAGGATGGATCCGATCCATCCCGCGGGGACCGTCGGCTTTCTTTACAACTTACCTTTTCGTGGAGCGGGTCCGGTGTCACCCCGTATAGGTAGCATGCCGACGATCCCCACAGGATGGATCGGATCTGCGGATTGGGGAGCATAATGGATCGGACAATGGATGGATGGCAGCACACAGAACGTTTTTTACCTTTTTGCATAGATTGCACGAAGGTAAAAAACCTTCTCCCTTTACAACCACTTTAAAGACCAAAATGATACCAACCAGGGGCGGACTGACCATTTGGAAACTCGGGCACTGCCCGAGGGCCCGGGGTCAGTAGGGGGCCCCATGAGATGCCCCTGGTACCTTTCATTGGCTTATTTATAGGCTTTTTTGGGTGTTAGCAAGGACACAGGGGCTCCATGATCCCTTTTTGCCCAGGGGCCCCATGAGTTGTCAGTCCGCCCCTGATACCAACATCGACATAGTGGTTAGCTGTCTCGCATGGAACAGGAGGAGATAACCAACCTAAGGTTTGGACGATTCTTAGCTACTTATTTATGTCATGGACATACAAAACAATGATAACGAATATACTCTTTTCTAGTGTATTTCACTTTTTAATATCTGCTCTTATGTGACATGCAAGCTATGGGGTCAATCCCCCCCCCCCCCAGTCATAGCAGGGCCATGAAGCTCTTCATTCATACATGTGCTTAGGTCTACTTAGAAGGTTTCTTTTGTTAAAAAGAAGTATTGTGGGGGGAACTTCAAATTTAAGAGTTTTGCATTTTGAGCTGATTTTTAATTAATAGGGAAATGCTGCCTTAATTGTGCTTTCTGCTGAGCATCCATAGGCGTGGTTTTTATGTCTTCTCAATGCCCCCACTTACTCTGCAGGGTGCCCCTATGTCACCTAGAGTGCCCTATGTAATAGAGTTGTACTATCAGTCATGTAACATGCTGGTCTACCTAACTGGATATATAGGCCATGACAACCTTTGCTTTTTTTCCACACTACACTTCATGGGCTAGGCCTTTTGGCCGTGATAGGGGAAATTTTTGTTAAAAGGACTAGCCAATGCACTTGCACTGGCAATTTCATACTATTTTTTTATTTATTTTTCCCTCCATGTGTGTCACTTGCACTCTAATACGTGTTTTGTTTTTACTCTGGATGGAGGGTGTGGGGTTCTTTGGGCCTACCCTGAAGTTTAGGGGAAGGTTGTGTAGCCATTAGGTTTCTTCTTCCAATGCCTTGGGAAGGGGCACCTAGTACTCATTGGTTGGCTTCGGCTGACCATTAGGACATGGTTTCGCCAGGCCTTTTGGCTAGATGGACTTGAAGGAACCTAACCTTCCCTTCCCCATTAGGAGCCTCGTGCCCCAGAGGGTCAGGGAGCGTTTCTTCCTCTTAAGTTCACTTTTTTGGTTCACTTACTGGTGGTTAGTTTCGTGCATCCACCATGGGCTAAAAAAACAAACAAAAAACAAGTAGATAATAATGTAGCTGTTATTTTAGGTTGACCCTTGCATAAAATAGTAGTTGTCTATAGAGGGTGTTTAGAAATGATACATGTGTTCTCCTTAGAAATATTGCATTTACATTTCAAACCTTCTCAAAGGTCCCATTTGATCTTCTGCAGGAAAAAAGTATGAAAAGACGGCTGTGCGGGGATGCGGCACCAAGACACTCTGTGATCTCGGAAGCCAAAACTTTAATTACGGAGGCATTACCTTGAAAAGAGAAATTACATGTACAAGCCATGGTGTCAACCTTCATGCCAACATATTGCTAGTTGCAATAGTTGCTTTGTTTGCATACAGACTAATGCTCTAGGCCCCACGTTCCGATCATCAGCCGTGTAGTGTGCCACAGTTTTCAACAGAATGCCCAACGTGTATACACGAGGAGCACAACGTTGGTTGATGTATGATGTTTTTTGGTTTATTTTTTGTTTCTGAATGTCTGGCACCCAGGTGCATGCATCAAATATCAAACTGCTGCGCATGAAACATGCTTTCATCACAAGTTACTGGGAAAATGTATTTCAAATGGCTGTCATCTGACACTCAAATGTCACTTTTAGGTTCTTGTTCTCTTAAAATAATTCATGGCACTAATAACACTTTGTACTTACCAATGTTCCACCTCAAAATCCTGGAGCTGAAGGTCAGGCCTGACTTATGGGATGAGGTTGAGCTACACCTATCGGCTCCTTAGGACCATGTCAGACCATGCCTATTTGTTTTCTTGACTGGAGTTGGGTTACAAAGTCCTATGTAAGTCCTGGAACAAAGGTAGGCTGTGCATACAGTATATACTTTCTGGGATGAGGTCAGGAGTCATCTATTTGCTCCCAGGGACCAGGTTTGGCTACACTTATGTGCTTCCAGTGATGAGTTTGGTCCCTGCCTGTCTGCTTTTTGGGACTAGGTTTGGCCTTGGCTACCTGCTTCCAGGGGTAAATTAGGGTCACACCTATTTGCTGTCAGGGATGAGGTTGAGTGACACCTATCTGCTTTATGGGGTGGGACTGGGCCTCATTTAGTTGCTTTCGTTGAGGAGGTTGGACCTCACCTACTTACTTTCTGAATTGAGTTTGGGCCTAACATATCTGCTTTCTAGTATAAGATTGGACCCTACTTATCTGCTTCTTCAGAGAAGTTGGGCTTAATGGGATGAAATTGGGTTCACTGATCTGCTTTCTGGGATGAGGTTGGGCCTCTCGTAGCTGCTTCCTTGGAGGAAGTTGGATGTCACCTATCTACTTCCTGGGATGAGGTTGGACCTATCTTATCTGATGTCTAGTATAAGGTAGGGCTTCATTTATCTGCCCTCTCTGAGAAGTTGGGCCTCACCTTTATACTTCCTGGAATGAGGTTGGGCCTAACTTATTTGCTTTCTAGCATAAGGTAAGGCCACACTTTTCTGCTTTCTCTGAGAAATTGGGCATAATAGGATGAAGTTGGATTCACCTACAGTTGTGACCAAAATTATTCAACCCCCAATGCTGTAAAGGGGTTTAGGGACTATAGTGTACATTTGGAATTGTATTCAGAATCAAATCCTACAAGGACGTTGTAACTACCCAAATGCAACTAAAATGACATCAATTGTTTATGTAATACAGTAGTAAATGGTTCTTATGTGGTTTCTTCATTGCCACAATTATTCAACCCCTTAAAGACTACCACTCTGAAGAACAGAGGTTCATACAGGTGCTTTCCATCAGGTATTGAAAACACCTGTGGATGTCACCGAGCAGCAATCAAGCATAATAAGCACCAATTAGGCAGCTTTAAAATGACTGTGATACTCAGCTCCTTCTAGACATTTACTGGTGTGGTTACAAACATGGTGAAGGCAAGAGAATGGTCCAGGAAGACAAGAGAAGAGGTGATTTCTCTTCACAGGAAGGGCAATGGCTATAAGAAGATTGCAAAGATGTTAAACATACCAAGAGACACCTTAGGAAGCATCATTCGCAAATTCAAGGCAAAGGGCACTGTTGAAACGCTACCTGGTCGTGGCAGAAAGAAGATGCTGACTTCGACTGCTGTGCGCTACCTGAAGCGTAGAGTGGAGAGAAGTCCCCGTGTGACTGCTGAGGAACTGAGAAAAGATTTGTCAGATGTGGGTACAGAAGTTTCAGCCCAGACAATAAGACGCACACTGCGTAATGAAGGCCTCCGTGCCAGAACTCCCAGGCGTACCCCCTTGCTGTCTCCAAAGAATAAGAAGAGTCGACTGCAGTATGCCAAAAGCCATGTGGACAAACCACAAAAGTTGTGGGATAGTGTTCTGTGGACTGATGAAACAAAATTAGAACTGTTTGGGCCCATGGATCAACGCTATGTTTGGAGGAGGAAGAACAAGGCCTATGATGAAAAGAACACCTTGCCTACTGTGAAGCATGGTGGAGGGTCAATCATGCTTTGGGGCTGTTTTGCTTCTGCAGGTACAGGGAAGCTTCAGCGTGTGCAAGGTACCATGAATTCTCTTCAGTACCAGGAGATATTGGATGGAAACGTGATGCAGTCCGTCACACACCTGAGGCTTGGGAGACGTTGGACCTTTCAACAGGACAATGATCCCAAGCATACCTCCAAGTCCACTAGAGCATGGTTGCAGAGGAAAGGCTGGAACATTTTGGAGTGGCCATCGCAGTCACCAGACTTAAATCCGATTGAGAACCTCTGGTGGGACTTAAAGAAAGCAGTTGCAGTGCGCAAGCCTAAGAATGTGACTGAACTGGAGGCCTTTGCCCATGAAGAATGGGCGAAGATACCCGTAGATCGCTGCAAGACACTTGTGTCAAGCTATGCTTCACGTTTAAAAGCTGTTATAACTGTAAAAGGATGCTGTACTAAGTACTAAGATTGAATGTCACTTGGGGGTTGAATAAAACTGATAATGCTGTGAGCACAGAAAAGACATTTGTGGTTATTTCATTATAACTGTTATGTTATATTTGTCTGACCTACAAGTGCCTCTTTAATGTAAATGTAAGCAAGATGACTGAATGATCAAAAGCAATGTCAAACTGGCCAAAACACTCAATTTCAGTGGGGGTTGAATAATTTTGGTCACAACTGTATCTGTTTTCTGGGATGAGGTTGGGCCTAACGTATCTGCTTTCTAGTATAAGGTAGGTCCTCACTTATCTGCCCCCCTGAGAAGTTGGGCCTCACTTATCTACTTCCTGGGATGAGGTTGGTCCTAACCTATCTGCTTTCTGAGATGAGGTTGGGCCTAACGTATCTGCTTTCTAGTATAAGGTAAGGTCTCGCATATCTGCCCCTCTGAGAAGTTGGGCCTCACCTATCTACTTCCTGGGATGAGGTTGGACCTCACTTAGCTGTGTCCTTGGAGGAGGTTGAACTTCACCTACCTACTTCCTGGAATGAGGTTGGGCCTAAATTATCTGCTTTCTAGTATAAGGTAGGTCCTCACTTATTTGCCCCCCTGAGAAGTCAGGCCTCACCTATCTACTTCCTGGGATGAGATTGGTCCTAACCTATCTGCTTTCTAGTATAAGGTAGGTCCTCACTTATTTGTCCCCCTGAGAAGTCAGGCCTCACCTATCTACTTCCTGGGATGAGGTTGGTCCTAACCTATCTGCTTTCTAGTATAAGGTAGGGCCTCACTTATCTGCCCCCTCTGATAAGTTGGGCCTCACCTATCTACTTCCTGGGATGAGGTTGGACCTCACTTAGCTGTGTCCTTGGAGGAGGTTGAACCTCACCTACCTACTTCCTGGAATGAGGTTGGGCCTAAATTATCTGCTTAATAGTATAAGGTAGGTCCTCACTTATCTGCCCCCTCTGATAAGTTGGGCCTCACCTATCTGCTTCCTGGGATGAGGTTCAGCCTCCCTTTTCGGCTTCAATGATGACCTAGAGTGACCTGCTCCACCTTTAACTTTACCCAATTTTGAGAGACAGGCCAGCCCCTTTGATCAACAGAACAGGAAAAATCTTCACCTTCTGGCAAGCGTGGCAAATAGCATTTTTGCTTTGATATTCCCAAACTTATTCAGCCACATTTTATAAATTGGTCAATAAATATCAATCTAAAGAGGAGGCTGTCAATCTAGGGGGTTAGGTGAATCCATTCAATGCTTTGTATGGTTACCCAATGATTTCTATTAACATTTCAGGCTGGTATTGTTCTCCACAACATACCAGCCTTTTAGGAGGGGCCTCTTTTTTTCCATAGCATTTCCCAGAATCACAGCCCTCCTTAGCTAATTGTCAAGCAGCCAACTGATTAATTGATCCCATTCGAAGGCAAAACATTAGCTCTGAGCTTCTTTGCCAAATCTAGTGTCTGCAGAATATTTAGCTGCTCAATTTCCAGCTTGGAATCTATCCTATTTATTTTCAAAACAACATGTGCCTTCTCATAATTGCTCTTAATGTTATGACTTTTCGTACTAGTCATTGCACTTTGCCATAAGTTTGTATTATTTCTTAAAGTGATATTTCATATGTTACAAAACCTTTGTTATTGGGTGGGCAGAGAAACAACAACAACCACCCTACTTGATACTTCGAAGTTCCTTTGGATTTGTTGTAGTCATACCAATGGATATAGTCGTTGTGTTCCTCTAGTGCAACATCAGACATTATATTGAGGTTGTGCTAATCCGATCAGTATTTATATCCATGAGTATGTGTTGGCTTACACCATTTTGGGGCTCCTTATGTCACCTTGCATGCCCTCCCAATCTACCTTGTGCCTGTTCACCTTTTCCTATAAACAATTATGGGGGGGTTATGTCACCAGACATAGATAGTGTTGTAAAGTCACCATAGTCATTCGTCTAGTCTCTGGTGCAATGGACTTGCTCTTGGTGCTGCTCAGTGTCATTTTTATGTTTCTCTAGGATCTAGAGCACTTACTTAGTCCCGTAACACCATCATTCATCACAGTCACAGACAGTGCATTTACTAATGCCAGTGTTCACTATTAACTGTCAGTAATTAGTACTTTTTCTCACTTAGTGTACCATACGTAGACACAAGATAGCTGTCACAATACTTCACAGACAAGCCCTTGGAGTTTAGTAGAGTTGATGGGTAGGGGCACAGAGGTGCCTGTGTAGTTTCCCATATTGGCCACTAGATGGCTGGCACCTCTCCTTTATGGTTTTCCCACTTAAGGGAAGCTTTCAGAAGCTAGATCCTCAGATATTACTTCTTTGCTGCCTTGGTCCTTGCACTGGTTCGGATGACCAAATGACCACCGGCAGACCCCTGCCAAACTACCTACAGAATATTGAACCCACTTACCCAAGATGCCCCATGCTGGCAGGGGCAGAGTTGGCACTTCCC